GTATGTTAGACCAGTTTAAGTGTTTATGTAGTATGTTAGACTAGTTTAAGTGTTTATGTAGTTAATAAAGTCTTACTTGTATCACACTTCACGTTGTTCATTGTTTGCTCATAACTGGAGTCACTTAATCATGCAGATTTATGCTACAAGCTCTGTGTAGAATTGTACAGTAAGAAAGTTATTTCCCTTAACCAGGAAATTAACGTTCTTAGAATTGACAGACAGTTGACCCTGAGAGGTCAAGTAAATATCTACAGCGGATCTAAATATTTATAATTAATTATAACTAGTTATGATTAATTATTCATATATCCCCATGAGCTGATTCGCTACATATGTGTGAGTATATGATATAAACCATCAGTTTCATAATAATCCATTTTTAATTTGCTCATTATGTTTTTCTTTTGATTGAACTTCTTTTGAGCTCACTTCAATGAGAAAACAATGCAGTTGCATTAGATTTCATCACTGCATAATTGCAAAGGCTTTTATCATTGCAGATTTAGCGTGACCCACTCACATTTAAACACAGTCTTAGTATGACATATCTGTGTCATGTTATTTCATTTCTATTTTATTGAATTATGTAAAATTATTAATAATTTAAGACAACATAATGTGGCTCGATGTTTAACCATTGTAAAATGTCATGTAAAGGACACATTCATTTGTGTCTAGTAGTACAAATGGAAATACAGGAAGAAAGAAAAATGTGTGTGCCGGACCGAGTATCTAGAAAGTATTTAAGAAAGCTAGTGAGCACTATTTTGAATTTATTAGCCTTGACAACTACAGTCTATGGTTTAAATAAGTGAAAGCAGTTGTGAGACCGACGTCTATTCTAAAAGCAGGAAATTCATTTATGTTTAATTGTTGGACTTGGAATCTTTCGTCTGCATGCTAATGAAATATTAATGTTTAATTTTATAATATATACCGTTTTTCATGACATGAGCTAATTATTTTATACCATTTGTGAAAGAATATTTTTAGAAATGATTCCAAGGGGAAAAAAATAAATACCTGTATGCGTCTTCACCATTGTACATTAAATATGTAATCATTGTGATGTTTGCTTTATAAGAAACATTTGTTTTCCAATCCTGACCACAAAATCTCATGTACCAGTATGATACACAGTCAGTTTCTTTTTTTTTCTCTTGTAAACATTTGTAGAATCGTTTGTGTGACAAAACAATAAGCTTTCCCATTTTAAAGAACATTTTAGGCCTGTATAATTTCTGCTCAGTGAAAAGATGCAGTCATTCTGTCAAGACTACAATAAATCCTATAATTGAAATCTTTTGTGTTGGATCTTTTCAGATGGTGCACAGACACATTGTAGTGACATCACTGAAAAGAAATGGTGTGAAATACCATCCTTCTGCATGCAATTTCTACATGCCGTTTAAAATGTGAATCCCTCTCAATCTGTAAATCAGTCACAGCTGAATAATGTAGAAGAATATTAACCAGTGGATTACTAATTATGAGATACATTGAATCTGACATTATTTTCATAAGATTACTGAATAACTTCTTGTAATGTTTACAAAATAAGTGCTTTTTTCTTCAGTTTATTTAAAGGGGACATCAGATGCGACATGCACTTTTACAAGTTATTTGAACTGAAATGTGTGTTGGCAGTGTGTGTACACAACCACCCTATAATGATAAAAATCCACCCAGTGTTTTTTTTTTTTTTAATCTCGTTAAATCATTTCTCCTTTCTTATATCAAGCCATTCTCAGATGCCTGTGTGACGTCACACAGACCCAGGCCCCTCCCACAATTGTTGATTGACACTGGTGTTTTACCTTAGACCCGCCCTGAGTGAGCTGTCATCAGTCCGCCATTGTTTCGACGCCGGAGCAGGATTAGACAAGAATGGCTCCTAAGCGACTGAGGTGTTCTGTTGTTGGATGTAATAATGAACATAGCATCATAGTCGTCATACTCCCGACATCTGAGCCGCTGAAGACGCAGTGGATTACATTTGTTTTTGAAGGGAATGCGCCCCCCCCATCTACTTAAATGCGTTTATGTTCTTTTATGTCGCGCGAATCATTCATGATCCAGCCTCACCTACAGAAGAAGTGAGTATAAGGTTCTTTTGTCTTTGCAAATCGCCTTTTCTAATAACGTGCTAGTTAGCAAGTTCCGTGGCTAAAGTAAACAGTCTCATAAGAAAGGCTTGTCACCCCACAGAAGAGAAGGGCGAGCTCAGTAGCATTTAAAGGAACATGCATTAAAACGGCTTGCTGAAAACAGAGCTGATTTTGACAAGGTAAAAATGGTGTTGTTTTACATTAACATTGAGAAATTTTAACCAAAGTATGTTATAGACTTTTCATTAAAACCCTAAAGAATCATATCAACTTGTGGGAAATGGGCATCCAATGACCCCTTTAAAGATGTTTCCAATAATATTCTGTGTTGTAGGGCTAAGATAACATTTTACAATTAAAAAATGAATTTACAGCTCAACAACTCAATTTACTGATGAAACACTAAAATATAGTCTATTAAAAGAACAACATGAATAGGCTAAGTGTTCAAGGTGATGAACTGCTAAACCATCTAAAATGTCTGATCTCATGGGAATGCATCCCATGGTTGTTAGGAAATGAAATTGTCAGTGCTTTATTTCAAAATGCTTTCAAAAATGTCAAAAATCCAATTCCCTCCCAGGGTAATAAGACTATAATAAATCACTCCGCATTTGCTGCCACTAAATTGATCTGGATTTTAAAAAATGTTTGCAAATTATACACTATAATTGTATATGGGCTTAAGTTCATTCCCTTGAAAACAAAAAATATAGTATACATCATGCAAGTACTGCAAGCAAATAGTGATAGTTCAGAAATGCAGAGTGTATGTACATTTGCTATCTGCATGAAGAATGATATGAGTCTAGGTTTTTAAATGTATTAAATCTCAGCTGTAGGCAGTGATGCCACTGCACTTTCACAGGTAACATGTAAATGCCTCATAGGCAGACTGTTAACACCAGCTCACGGAATGTTGAACATACTCTCAGATTAAATTCGGTTTCCTGAGTGGCAAGTGATTGTAACCTCATTAGCCCCTTAATGTACACATATAAATTGGACAACAGATTATGAATGCAACTAAGATTGAGCATGTGCGCAATGTTTGATACAGTATTAAGGACATTGCATAAATGTATGTTTTGGTCACAAGGAATATTACACATTAAAATTAAGAGTGTAAAAACTCATTCATTTTCAAATATATGAAATTTGCACTTCACTTAACATTCTCCTTGAGAAACAGCTGAGCTGTGGAATGAGCGCATAGACCATTAATAAATTTCCCAGCTGAGAGTACTGGTTATTTTTAGCCAAGAATTTAATTTGAATAATCACTTTTTTTTGGTCTGAAGTCAGTCTTCTGGTATGTAATGTTATGCAATGCTTTGATCTGATTTTCTCAGAAAAGAAAGGTTTTCTAGGAGAACAAAGAGTATGCTGGAAGCTGGAACAGCATAGGGATAGAGGTCGCTGCACTTTCAAAGATAGAAATGGTCATCTGTCTGCTGCAATGCATGAATCTGATCTGAGTTGATGCATAACAAGTGAATACAACATCTGCTTTTTCCCTAGATATTTCAACTATCAACCTCATCTGAAGCTTCTCCAGAATTTCAGGTTTTTATATAACTTTATTTACCTGTCTACTATCTTTGACGCAGTGAAACACCATATTCTCCTCAGACCTGGGCCTCACAACCACTGCACTTTCCTAGTTCAAGTCTTACCTCACAAGCAATTCTTGAAGGTTCCCCTGAGAGGGTGAGTGTCCAAATCACATCAACCAAGGGCGTGCCTCATGGTTCAGTTCTGGGTCCCCTTCTCTTTACATACAAGACCTCACTTGGCCCAATCATGAAGGCACATGGCTTCTACTATCCCTCCAATGCAGACAATACACAACTGTACCTGTTGTTTTAGTTAAAAAAAACGGCTGTTATTCTGCTTGATATTGCAAACTGGTATTTATTATAAAAACTTATTTTCAGAACTATAAATACACTGGCTTGTAGTGCAAACAGTTTAACCATTTCATGCACTTTGTTATTCTTCTAGTTATTTACCTAAAGTGGCTAGTTAATCAGAAGTTTTGCACATTCACAGAAAATAGCCTACTTCTACATAAGTGTAATGACTGTCAAACCCGCAATTTTCAAATACTTACCCACATTAATATGTAATGAACAGAAATTTTAATCAATATATTGTTGAATGCAAATGCAACTGAGGACCTTCACTGTGTGTAAACAGAAAGACCCGTTGCAGCTGGATCTTTTCATTATTTACACTCAAAATGATAATGCCACCTATATTTGTGCACAGCTGCGCCATCTGCATTTCAACAATATTTGTGTCACAAAAAACGGAAAGGGATCTATTGTACATTGGTACAATTATTGTATTCATTAGTACTGGCAATGATCCATGATCGGCCACTGAAATAATCTGGCTGACCCCCAAACCTCTTGAGAGCACAGTTAATAATACTGCATCTGTCCAAAAAGCAATCTTGAGGACCAATTTGTTAATCCCAGTTATTTCCTTGTAATTCATGTTCTCCCTCAATCTCTATCATTGTTTGATGGTTAAGATAAAAGTTATGCTAGAAATGTTTCATGTTGTTAAAACAATTTGATAATTTATCCTATTTAAATTCAAACGCATTTTTCCAGTGAACCAATTAAAATTTCTATACCACAAAAATGTATTTTAAAAATAGAATGCACTTAAAGCATGAGGGTGCATTTGCACGAAACAGAAGAGTAAATCTGGGTTGTTCAGCAGCTGCAATTTGAGTAGAATTACTGAAATGAACTTTTCCACGACATTCTAATTTATTGAGATGCACCTGTATGTTCTTGTTTAGCCCTCCAGCCTTTTAGAGCTTCACAAGACACACTGGAAACAAATAAAATTGAGGCTGACACTGAAAGACTGACAGATTACAATTTATTGAATGATCGGCTTTTAAACAGACAACAGATATAAGATGCGTACAATGCTGGAAAAAAGGAGAGAACTTTCTTGTAATACAGACATAGAAACAGTAAACCTAAGACAACAACAACAACAAAAAACAATTCCCACTCTTCGCCCAAACAAAATATGTGCAAAATTCAATAAAACACAGTTGTATGCTCTAAAAAGGTAAGCCTCACTTTAGAAAAAAAATGTTGTAACATCTTTGTAATCTATTACAAAGTTGTCATATCTCTCGATTTTGGGTTCTAAGAGGTTCCACTCGATTTTCTTAATCTGTAATGAAATCCAAAGTGGTCAAAAAAGTGCAATGAATCACTGCAGGTAACTTGGCACCACTTTAATTTTACTAAAGAAATGAAGGCAGCAATTAAACTTTTCAGTTTTAGTGGGTTATTCACAGTGAAAAGATTAAACTGAACTTGAAGGAAAAGTGTCATTGAGATCAACCAGTCTGATGAACACAAAGGAAGCTGAATGCCACAATCTTTACAAAATGTTACCCAATGTGTCAGTAACAGACTTTAAATTTCCTCAAAGTGGAATCGTCCGTTAAATCACTGACCCGGGAAGAAAAATATTTAAAATGCACGCAAGTACAAAACACATCTGGGACTTTTTACAAATAGGCCCTCAAATCTGAATATGACTTTATCTGCAAACAAAACGAAGCTATGAAGGGAAGTGCAATGATAGCTAGTTAGTCTGCATTTGTTAATTCTAGTAATAGATGTAGTAGGCTATTAAAGTCTAGGAGTAAACAGCCAATCCTATGATGCACACAACTAGAAATTTATGAATGAGAATAACTCCAATACACCTCTCCAACACTGATGAAACTTTACTCCTGTAGTGGAATGCCTAAATACACACTTAAATGCGGCACATTTTGGCTTATTCTCGACAGAAAACATACTCCGTGTAGCTTGTCCAGATTTTGTCCTCGTTTGGGTCATTGCTGGAGTAAGCGCAGGTGCCAGTGGAGCTGCACGCGACCATATGAAAGCCAAACTCTGACAGTTTGTCAAACGCTTGCTCGAGAAAATTATACTTCAGATAATAGCGCGATGTGTACCTCTCCGGAGGGCGGTCCGGGTCTCTGCTCTCGTTCAAAGTGTCTCCGAAAACCTCTTTAGCCAGAGAGGTCTTCCCGCACACCGTGATCCTCGCGACTCGCCTGAATTTGGCGTCTGTCTGTATGTCTCTTCCGATTGTGTATGAGCCCCGGTAACCGACTGTAATGTAGCCCGACTTTTTGGACTCGAGGGAGGGAGAGTGAGCGGTGCTGGCGACGGACATTGTGCGCGAGGCGTCGAGTCCCACCAGCGGATGCACGCCCGGTTCCTCCGAGTCACTCTGGCAGATCTCATCGGTGATGGAGTTGTCTTTACTCATTTTGGGACTCAAGAGCTTGGACAGGTCCCGCAGCTGAAAAAACTCAGCCTCCCGCTGTAATCTGCTCTTCTCTGGAAAATAGTCAGGCAAAACCAGATTTAAATCCCGCAGGTAGTCTAAAATGTAGCGGAAAAGAAAGCCGTCCCTGTCCAGAAAGAAGCGACTTTTGCTGTCCCGTGCCAGCTCTGTCGGTGTTTTCTTACTAAACATGTTCCACAGAAGAGAATCCGGTACGGCTATTAAAGTCGTGTGCCGCGTCACATACACTTGTCCTCCCACATTTAGTTCAATAATGTCAGAAAACGGAGACGCAGAATCCGCGCCGTTTGATATTCCACACTCGGGATCTGCCAAAGCCATCACGTCTCTTCAGCTGATATGCCAGTTATTCGCGACTGTGTGCAACGGGCTTTCTAAAGACTCGAGATAAGGGCAGATGTTTGTTTAAATAGGTTGTGGGAGGGGAGAGAAGACGGCTGATGTTAACGCTTTATTGGCAAAATAAGACCAACTGGTGCCGTGCCTTCTGCTGTCAGTGCCTCTTAGATGCTATACTCTGACTCTTATCTGATGTTTCTTGAAAGCTCATAATGTTTAAGGATATAAATTACACTTAAATGTAGATAATAAATGGGAAAATGCAAAGACATACGGCTAAACGAATCTTCTCACCACACACCGAGGGAAAAAGTGTCTTATAAATTACAATATTGACATTTTCTCCCATGCGCTCCATATGACAAATAACAATAGCGACATCTAGTGGTATAACATTGGAATAAAAGCTGGCTTTTGTCTTCTCCACAAGCACAGCTAAACTGTAAAACAAAACAAAATGAACAGATATATAACTTAGTCAGGTTAGTTTTTGTCTAGTAATTTTCCTCAGAAAGACATTCAATCATCTGAACAATCAATATGTTAAACAACAGTAGGCCTACAATCCATTGAACGCATACTTCTGTTCTATCCCTCACAGTCTCAATTTCATTCCCATCAAAAATTATGGCGATACCCTGACTAAGGTCTATAGATGTGGAGTCAACCATTATCTTTCCATTGGTTTATCAAAACTATTAAATCTAACCCTGTAATAAATCAAATTAAACATGCACTGAAAAAAACACATTGTTTCAATATGTCATAATCTAATCTACCTGTATGTTAGGCTATCACCAAGGCCTTTAAAATCCTGATCTGAAATAATGTTAAATAGAGAACACAGAATTGCACTTTGCAATGCATTGCGTTTTAATTTAAGAAAGTACAATTAACGTTAAATCAAATTCAGAAAAATGTATTTAATTACACATACAGTAATACAATTAATTTTAACTGGAAAAGTTCATCAATACAAACTTTGAATGTTTTATTGACTGACAGTAAATAGCTTTTTAATTAAAATATAGCTTTTTATACAGCAACAACACATAATTGAATAAAACTACAAGCAAACTAGAAAAAGAAACAATCTCTTACAATCCATGAACACAACATCCCTCCAGCAATAAATATATACTGTAGGCTTGATACAAGCAAACCTCTGGACTGAAGGTGGAGACAGAGGCAAACTGGACAGAACAGGACTAGGAGAAGTTACCTTGTCAGACAAAACAAGCTTGGGCTGGAGCTAAAGGCTCTGCTTGCATCTGTACACCAGAAGGGGCTAAGGCTGGAATTTGTCCACTAGTAGGGGCTAAGACAGGAACTGAACACTCCACCACTATATAATAGTGTTATATTGCAAAATGAGAGTAAACCTTACTCTGATGAATTATTCCATAATTCTAAAGAATATAAAACACATGTTTCTATACAGTGTTTTTCAGTCCTGGAGCACCAGCTGCACATTTATCACCTTTACTTGTTGTCACCCAGTTCAGTTCATATGTAAAATGATGAGCTGCATAATGATTCCTGCATGATAAAAAAATATTAATGGGAAATTAGCATTTTTTGAAGCAGAATGATATAACTGTGTTTCTCGATTGCAAACACACTATAACGGATTCATTTGGCCCAGTTTTCCAAACCATTCATACAGTTCTTGAAACAAAGACACGTTTCTCAAAACTTTGAACACATTTCACCTGTTTTTACACAAGTTCCAATTTGCTCAGTGTTTTCTGCAAAACTCTACACAAAAACAGCATCATTTTGCACAGGTTTAACCATGTTCTCATTCAGAAAACACAAACACACAATATAATTAACGCAAGCATCAAAATATGAACTCAAACAAACAGCACACCAGGCAGGTGCAGAGGGGTGTGCGGTGGGTGCTTGAGCACCTGCCCCTTTTCCCCTTAAAGCCCAACGTGCCTTTTTGTCAAGGCAATTTATTTATTTTTTTTAATTAAACGCCATTTTGTGAAGGCCTGCCCAATCTAACTATTAGTAAAATTAATAAATAATAATTTAGCCGTAAATAAAATTATCCACATGATGATGGCCTTTCACCTGACGTCGCGATCTCATCCGGGACATCACGTTCAGACACCTTTAATTTAGCACGCTACCAGGATGCCTTCATAACGTCCGCGGCTGCTGGTAAGTGGAGTTCTCAGCATAGCGGTGTGCTTGTAAATGTGTTATATATAATCCGCATTATTCATATAGTTTATTTATTACCTGGAGATAACTTGAAAAACACTTAAACCATATATTTTCGCAATGGTATGTTTATTGTCTTTTTTCTGCTTTTTATTCAGCTCAGCTACAGGGATAGAGGGATGTTTTTATCCATATTAGGGATTTCCTGTATGTCATAAGTCATTCCTTCTATGAGTCTGTTTTGGACTTTCTGCACGAGAGCGCCCTCCGGCTTCGAGTATGAATTAAACATACATTGCATCCAGACATTCACTTCTCCTCATTTTGGATACGAATAAAACGTCAGGTCATGGATAGACTATCCATACTGTCTCTTTGAATTTAAATCTAGAGACCTCTACGTGAACACACCTACCCGAATAAAGTGCGGAGGACGAATTTACATTTAACTCAAATTAAATATTAAAGGGGTCATATGATGCTGCTAAAAATAACATTATTTTGTGTATTTGGTGTAATGAAATGTGTTTATGCGGTTTAAGGTTAAAAAAACACATTATTGTCCACATACTGTACATCATTGTTTCTCCTCTATGACCTGCCTTTCTGAAACGCGTCGATTTTTACAAAGCTCATCGGTCTGAAAAAGCGAGGTGTGCTGTGATTGGCCAGCTATCCAGTGCGTTGTGATTGGCCGAATACCTCAAGCATGTGATGGAAATGTTACGCCCCTCACATACTGTGATGATGCCCTGTCAGGCCGGAGCGATGATTCAAAAACTAGGGATGGGCGATACCACTTATTTTGTTTTCGATACGATACTTTTCAAGGCAGTATCGTCGATATCGATACCGATTCGATACTTCTGAACTAAACTTTTAAATTATGAAATGTATTCAATTATTAAATTACTAAGAGTAAAATGGGTAATGATAAGCACTTAACTTTGTTTAAAACGCATTTTAACATTCAATACGCCTTAATTGTAACTTATTAGGTTATATTTTTGTTTACACATGGTTCAAATATGTTTTTTGTTTACACATGATTCAAATCTATGAATACTACAGTTGAACTATGGTCACTTTAGTAAAGCATGGTTCATTTTCATAAGGGACTGCCAGTGGTCATCCGGAGACTCTTCGGATAGGATTTGTCCTAGGATGTCCGAAGTATCCATGACCAGGAAGCAGCAGGTAAGATGTGAAAGAAATAACGTAAACGTAATTTTCATGCTGTTTATAGCTGTATCGCCAAGCTTGCGAGCAGTTTGAGCATACTTACCGAGCAGTAATGCCACAAGCGAAAGCAGTCCAAAATATCTCTAAACAAATATGTCAGTGGATTTTGATGTGAGAGTACAACAAGGAATGGACTTTTTCCACTGGAGGAAGCGCTATTATGGATTATGGACTCAAGTCATATTTTAGCCAGAAGCAACAGTTTAATGAATGAATGAATGAATGAATTATGCATTTATATAGCGCTTTATTGTGTATTGTTGTACACCCAAAGCGCTTTTACAAAAAGGGGTCTCTCCTCAACCACCACCAGTGTGCATTATCCACTTGGATGATGCGACGGCAGCCACAGGACAACGGCGCCAGTGCACTCACCACACACCAGCTACAGGTGGAG